GTGTGTTGGCAGAAACGTTAGGCTTTCAAGTCTATAGGAACAAGCTTCGGCCAAGTTTATTTTTGAAAGGGAAGCCAGAGCAGGAAGAGGTTGGTGTAATAAAGTAAGAAAGAAGCACAGCCAGTAAGCAGTACATTTAAAAGAGCCTTAATGGTGTTTTTTGATAAGCTGATTATGAGATAATGATATCCGCATCCTGCATTAATTACTGTTTAATTGGGTGAGTATATCTTCTCATTGTTAGGACTAGGAAAAAAAGCTGAAGATGTAAGAAATGATTTGAAGAAAATGCTTTTACTGTAAGGGCTCAGTCTGAGGAATGACTATAGCACCATTAAAATGTTGCAATCTTGAGTGTGAAAGCTTCTGGTCAGAGAACCACAGACAGTACAGTACACAGTAAGTGAGCTCATAGCTCTTCAGTCCATTAGAAGTCAGGAATGTATGTGTTCCCGTGTAAAATCCCACTGTGCCCCCTCCCAGACAGGATCACAGTGTAGGGGAGGGTGGAGGCAGCCAGGGACCCCTGAGGTCCCATGTTTTGTTAACTTCTCCCACAGAGTCAACAGTCAGAGGTGCTCTGTGCAATAAAAATGTTTGATCAATATTAGCTGCAGTTTGACCAATGGATATCAGTACTACATTAAACTTAATTTAGAACAGATTTTAGATGGTTATTGAAAATGATCTGTCATTGACATTTGAGACGCTTCTAGTTATTTATATTCAAATATCTTTGAACAGTAGCCATTGACACAGGGGACAAATGCCGACATAATACTAAACAGAAGCAGAAATAGAGAAAAGTAATTGAACTGTAATGCAGTAATGCCCAGCTCTGGCTAAATCTGGCTTCCACCCACTGAGTATGCTTAGCAACAGCTAAAAACAGCCAAAAGATCATATCTCACAAATTAAGGCTGCAAATTATGTGTAGCTATTGAAATAGCAAATGAGAAGAGAGAGAGAGAGTGTTTTATTTCTTATGAATTAAATTGTACAATTTTGTACAATTACTCTTTGAAATGCAAAAACTACTAAGCTATATTTATTATTTAACATATATTATGGTACAATCTTAACTGTTATTGTAGTGCTCAGTATTTTTGTACATGCAAGCAATATGTGTGAAAGAGTGTATATTTTTGCATAATGAAAAATCACCCGAAGAATGTAAAAGGATACTATTGATTTCTTAATTATATAAATAAAAAAGAGAATGGAGCTGAAAATCTATAATTACTAACAAGGACTCATCATCACACCTCTCTTAGATCCACTTGCAAGTGGTTTCAAGAAAGTCATTTATCCATCCTTAGTAGGTCATGCCTTCATCGGGCATGGCATTCAGTAAACCACGTGCAGTCTGATCAGGGTACAGACGAGACTGTAAGGACCTTTGGTTTAATCTGTCTTATTCCTGGATCTAAAGTCTCAACCCTGCTAAGGATGACCAGAGAGTACAGAGAGTACATCTTGTTTACACAAGGAGAGGAAATCACCACACAATTACACTGGGTATCTTTGGCCATCACTCCACAACTACTCTGGTTTTTCAGATAAAGTAATTAGGGTAGGTAACAATTCTCCTGCTGTCTCATCTTAGATCCAAGATTAAAACCCAGCAACACAAACGTTTGACAACTGTGTTTTTTCCCAGCAGTGTAGTGCATGATTACAGATGACACACTAGCGTATGTATGTCATCTGTAATCATGCCCTACACTGCTTGGACAACACCTAGAGGTCCCTGACACTGAAAGGGTTTTGTTTATTAATTCTAGTCTCATCCAGGCTGTATGACAAACTCTTTAATATGGGAGCTGAACAGTGCCTTGTGTCAATGGGTCCTTGCCTTTTTGTTGGAGTTGATGCAAGTGGTCAAACATAACAAATTCTCTTAACCCCACAGGGGTGTATACTGTGTCCACTCCTGTAGTTACTGTATACATATGACGCACTCCCAGTCTGTGGACCACCATCCGTTGCTCATAAACAAAATTCACAGCTACAAATTCTTGGGAATTACTATCTCTTCCACCTTGAAATAGGTGTACAAACCTGCTACCACTCTGACAGAGGTTTTTTCTTTTTAAGAATCTGTTTTATAGTATCATTTATTATGTGTTTTATGAGTGAGTGGTTTAACTATTTCTCTCATTTTCGGCTTTTGTTTAAGTGAGCTCACTAACTCTAAAGTACTGAATCTGGAATCTTGGAACGTACGGTACGTGTGTCTGGTGTCAGCTCACTTTAATGAAGATAAAGGAGTCTCTTGCTTAAGCCAGAGCTGACCTCACCTGACTAACATCTGACCTCATATGTCTCCTGTGGTCAAGTGCCAGCCTGGCCTGTTGACTGTTACTCTGCTGATAAGTTACTCATACTTAAGGTGGAGATGTAAAGTACGTTTTCATGGATCTGTTGTACATACGTAATAACAAACATAATTTGTTATGATGATGGTGTTGACTTGCTTGAGCCACCCTGCCCTCTTCCAGCCCTCTACTCAGGGAAAGAAAAATATGTGTACAGTGGAAACCTTATATTTGGGTTGTGTAACTAAACACTATCTCCATCTCTTAACTGTCAGCAGCTGTGAGTCTGGATGGCGTCACACTTCAGTCTCAACTGTGTGATATTGTGACCATGAGCTCTGCTCTGCACTGATATTGGTGCAAGTGGGCCGGATTCCAAGAGGAGTTGGGCCAAAGTTCCATGTCATCCTGTTGTGCTCCTTTAACAGGAAAATATACCAGCAGAAAGCCAAAGGAAACTACTTAGTAAAACATTTTTTTTTTCTTAATTAAGGAAACCGAGGTTCTTGGCCCGAATTCCACCCTGTGGATTGTGTTAAACATTTTCTATGTATAACATGTCTTTTGGCAGCAGAGGTCACTGTTGTATAAAAGGACACTTTCACAAGCCCAAATCTCACTCTTCTTTCAACCTAAATTTAAGTCTAACCTAATCCTAAAGCCAAGATTTATGCTCACATCTTTTTAAGTCTGTCTTAACAATACTTACAAACAAACGGTTTTTGCTTGCTGTAGTAATTCCTCTTCCTCATACTGGCCATTAAACCACCAGTGTGTAGGATTTAGTGACATCTAGCAGTAAAGAGTAGACTGCAACCATTTCAATTTAGTTCAATTCAATTTTATTTTATCAATCATTATCAATTCTAAGTTATTTTGGGAGGCTTTTAATATAGAGCAGGTTTAGACATTCTCCTTATAAAATAATTAAGAAAGACCCAACAATTCCCACCATAAAGCACTTTTAATTTGAATACAGCTCAGCCTTCTACAATCTATCCGTCTATCTAGAGCCAGTGTTAGTTAGAAGAAACATGGCATTTCAGTATGGTGGTCAGTGGAAGGGGACGTGCTCCATCTGTAAATAAAAACAGCTAATTCTAAAGTAATGAAAACACAAAAATTCTTATTTTCAAGTGATTATACACAAATAAAAACATACCTATGAATATTACATTATATTTACATAGGTCCTCCTAAATGTTACACACTGGATTCCCATCCTTAATATGCTACCAATGTAAGTGATGGGGGCAAAATCCTCCTTCAGTGCAAGTATCTGAGTTAAGCAAATCAAGTGAGTATCTTCAAAGGTTGTTGTGATGGTGATGAGAATATACTAGATAAATAACAGTTCAGTTAACCTACTGGCACTCTCTGCTAAGCTACAGTTTGCTATTAAGCCTAGAAAGTCAAGTACACATATTAAAACATTGAGAACGTACATGTGCTGTATAATGAATGCACCCAATATAGCATATATATTACTTGATGCACATAACCTATGATACAGCCAGAAAGACAACTTTTATCCCAAACATTAAACTCTCTGGAGTGAACTAGCAGACAAAGTAAAGAAACAATTACCCACTCACAGGAGCTGATTGACTCCTGACTTCTTAACAAGTTAAAGTCTAATTGGTGTCCGTCTTTGTGTTTCCCTTGACGGTGTTTCCATGCTAAGCTGTGGTGGTACGACAGTAACACAAAGAGGGGGGAGATACTCAGACCGTTGACCGCCTCATTTTAACTTTAGATAAACTTTGCAATTTATTTTCAGATTGAGGAATGTTGATTTTGTTTCTCATCACTAATATTGGAACCAATAAAAAGGGATGCTTTAAAGGCCAGCCAGCAAAAACTGTTCCAGTAGGGCAGCTGATATTGTTTTAAAACATACTTGAAAAACAAACACTATGAGGAGGGAGAATAATTGTACTGTATGGGGTATATTGGACATTTGTTATGCATTGTTATTGCCAAGTGACCTGTTCTTTGCCACTGAGACACATACTGCAGTACACCACACGATGGCAGTATTTGAGCAGGAAATAAAACTCCTCGAACACTAACACTGATCCACATGACTCAACATTTAAGGAATTATAAAGAATGATACAAGGAACATAAAGCCAGAGGCGACCACATACATTTAGAACAAACCAGTGGATTAGTTACAAAAAAGTGTCCATGTATAGAATATTTCTGGTTTCTAAGAGGATGAAGAATATCAAATACCTTAAATCTCTTTATATTACCTTTCTATGCCACTTGTGGTTATAACATACATTGAATTCAGGCGTCACATAACGCTGCAATGAAATACCGTTAAATCTGCATCCTATGTGGCTTCTTCAACATCATCAGCATCTTCTTCTTCTTCTTCTTCTTCTTTATAATCATGAATGATCAGTTCTTCAGTTGCTGGACAACTAAACTCAAAAAATCTGTCAGTGCGTTTGGACACAATTGGCCTTTAATTAAACACAATAGGCTGCAGCCAAACCGAATGGGGTCAAAGATTAGGGCTTGAGTCGGGGTGATAAATTAAACATCGGATCTTAAATTATGAATTTTCTTTGAGGGTGGAGGACCCGGAGCTTCTGTGTCTTTAATAGTGAAGAGAGAGAGATGGGAGAGGCTGCGCGCTCACGCTTCATTACTCGCTCCGTGGCGGCGGGAACGCGCACTGGCTCCCACACTCGCTGGAGAGGGAAAATAGCGCCCGTCGGACTGCAACCGTGACTCACCGGGGAAAAAAAATGTTTCCTCCGCCGCCCTTCATCAACACTATCGATGTCTGCAAAAGTCATGTGAAGGGATCCACAACATATGAGGACTCGAGTTTTTTCGACTATTAAACTTGTTTCAGAGGATTGTAAACTCCGAGTGATTAATAAGCCACAGGAATTGAAGTTAACATTGGACAGGTAAGATGATTTAGTAGCCTAATTAGGCAGTTACTGTAGTTAAAAGATGAAAATACACTACACTAGCAGGATCCAGATCAAAGCTATTGTGGAAAACATCGCCCTGTAGGTCAATTGCATCTGTGATGAATCACAAGGGCATCCGTTCATGAGCGCAAAAAGCCTTACCTCCATGTGAACAGATAATGGGAATGTTGCAATTTAACTCTTGCTGAAAGTCAAATGTCTTTTTGGACAAATCAAATGTTTCAACAATATAGACAGCGCCTGTTTGTCCGCACCGGATTGTGGAAACGCGCTCAGAGCATGGAGAGACCGACTGATCCTGAAATTGCTGCAAATATGACACACAGAATACATCGGATGTACAAACTCCTATAAAAATATATATCAGCATATAGCTATATATATATATATGTGTGTGTGTGTGTGTTTGTTTGCGTGTGCGTGCATTGGTGCCATGCGAAAATAAAAGGAAACTTTGCATGTGATGCTTTCTATCAGATTGTATGACACCAGCAGCGGCAGTTGTAGTATGCACCTTGTGTTTTTTCTTTCAGCTTCTTTGTCTTTACGAGTTTGTAATGTGATTTGGAGTTGCGTTAAAGAGCTTTGATATCGCTTTGAACAGCATAACCCAATCAGTAAAACACATTTAAATTGATATGAGATGTAAGAGCTTCCACGGTACATTTCCGCTGGTTTAATGGACATAATGGATGTTATGTGACTGATTTTTACTTTTTGCTAATGTCTGGTTGTTGATACTTGCAGGTGCAGAAAATGGCGAGACGGCTCTTGCAGCTCTTGGCCCTGTGGACTACTGTTATTGGCATTGTGCAGTGCTGTCCAGAGCTCTGCACCTGCCAGGATAAACTTTCCCACCAATTTGCTGACTGTGCTTACAAAGACCTGCTGGTGGTACCTGTGGGTCTCCCCTCCAACGTTACCACTGTGAGCCTTTCTGCCAATAAGCTCAAATTACTGAAAAGTAAAAGCTTTGTCAACATCACACAGGTCACCTCTCTCTGGCTGGCCCACAATGAGATAGTTATCTTAGAGAGGGACACCTTGGCTCCGCTGATCCAGCTCCGCAATCTGGACATCAGCTACAACAAAATTGTGAACTTTCCGTGGGAGGATCTGCGCAACCTCACAGCCCTGCAGCTTCTGAAAATGAACAACAATGAGATGGTGAATCTTCCAAAGGATGCCTTTTCCACTCTCAAAGAACTGAGGTCGCTGCGCATCAATAACAACAAGTTTACCACCATTGTGCAGGGTACCTTCAGTGCTCTCTTCTCCTTGTCCCACCTTCAGATTTACACCAACCCCTTCAAATGCTCGTGTAGCCTGGAGTGGCTGAGGGATTGGATCACAACAACTAAGATTTCTGTCCCAGAGCCAAATTCAATTTTATGCGCTGCCCCTGAACACCTGAATGGCATAAAGGTTACAAATATTCCCAAATTGGACTGTCAGGCCCCTACTGTCACAATAACATACCAGCCCAACATTGAGAACACAGAGCTCTACGAGGGTTTCACGGTCATCTTAAATTGTGTGACAACAGGGGACCCCAAACCACAGGTCAGCTGGGTGGTGGCTGCAGGAAATCAAAATTATCTGTTCCCGTTGCCCACTGTTGGAGAGACAAATGAGGTGCCAATTAATGATAAAACAACCAACAATCGATTCCTCGTCTTTAGAAACGGCACTCTCATCATCCCTCGCATGAGTAAAAAGGAAGATGGAAATTACAGCTGCTCTGCGGTGAATGATTTAGGTAAAGCAGAGAGCAGTGTTAAAGTGGTTATGGCAGGCACCCAAAAACATGCCGGCGACTCAAAGCCCGATTCTACAGTGGACAGGATCCGACCATCGGTTAAAAAACCAGAGCCCAAGACCTCTAAAAACAATATGATCAACTGGACCAAGCCTGAAGAAAAGACAAAGGGCATTACTGAAGGGTCGTCAGACAAAGAGCAGGTTGGTGGTGGTACGAAGGGCCCCACCTTTGCGAGCAAGTGCGGCGTAAGAGAAAGCAGTGAATACATCTCCAACCATGCCTTCAACCTGAGCTTGGATGACCTGAAGCAGTACACTTTTGATTTTGGTGTTATTGCGTTAGAGGTGTCAGAGACGGAGGCCAAAGTGCAGCTGAATCCACTGCAGCTTCCCAACAGCAAATCTAACCTTCATCTCAGTCAGACTGAAAACCAGGAAACAGTGAACAAAGAGCCCATGGGTCTGTTCCAGTCCTCATCTGGTAAAGCCACCTTGGACATGCTCTACCTCTGTGTAAATACAGGTAATGGACACTCCATGGTTCAGTGGTCCAACATAGAGGAGGGGGTTAATGCCTACCGCTTCCACGGTTTACAGCCTGGCACCAATTACACACTTTGTCTCACCTATGGGGGGCAGGACTGCCAAGTGCAAGTAGTTTTCACAACTAGGAAGAAGATCCCCTCCCTGCTTATCATAGTGGTTGTGAGCATTTTCCTACTGGGTCTGGCTACTGTTCCCTTACTGGGGGCCACCTGCTGCCATTTGTTATACAAGTACCAAGGGAAGACCTACAAGCTGATCATGAGGGCTCAGAATCCGGATCAGATGGAGAAACAAATGGCTGGAGATTTTGATCGCAGGACGTCTTTTGTGGAGTCTGAGAAAACCTTCAACCCCAGCGAGGGGGAGGGAGAGGTCGAGGGAGAGGATGGAGACGGAGAGGGGGAGGCTGATGGGAGCGTGGTGACAGAGTCTATCCCCGGATCCTCGTCCAAAACCAACCAGGAGGAGTTTGAAGTGGGCTCGGAGTACAGTGACAGGTTACCGCTGGGAGCAGAGGCAGTCAACATCTCGGAGGAGATCAACGGCAACTACAAGCAGCCAAGCCGCTGAGCTCCGCTGATGTCTGCGACTGTATTGTAAATTATTTTACTTTCAAGTAGCCTACATTCAAGCAGGTAACTCACCCACCATTACTACACGTGAAAAACAGATTGCGTCAGATAAAAAAAGGTGGATCTTTTCATTTTTTTACCTCAGAAAGTACTCCGTCAGTCACTTGAGATTGTGAATTGATTCGTGTGACATATGTAGTCTGCTGTAAGGTTAAAACCTACGTTTACGGTGCAAGCACAGCTTTATACAGTGTACCAGACCTCAAAACTGACAGGAAAACAGCAAAATGTCACTTATCCGCAGGACACACACCAGATGGGCATGTGCGCAAAATGTGCAAATGGCGAGGCGCTCCAGATTTTCGTGTAATTGAAGGGAATAAAAAAAAAATCGATAAAAATCACCGTTTTGGAGAGCACAAAAAACAAGCAAAAAACAAATAACCTTAAACTAAAACAAACCAAAAAGTGCCATATGTTTTAAAGCCATTTTAAAATAAATATTATCAGGGACTAATTGTTCTTTCTGCTGCGTGCGTCTGTGCAAGGATGTGGATGAGCCTCATCTAAAACCGGCCAGCTCTCATCATCTTCTCAGGTGTCGGTACCTCGTCCACGGAGCAGTTGCCGCAGATTTGGATGATGATATTTGATTAAATGATACCAGATGCACATATTTGGTTTCAGTCATATTGCGCCAGACCTGCCTGTTGTCCATGTGAGTCCAAAAGGGGGTACATTTCACTTCCAACTGTGTTGTGCTTGACGGGAAATTCCAGGTTATTTACCAACAAAATGTTGTTTGACGTAATGTTAAGGCTTTAAAATGTCAACGGGTGCTTGCTTTATTCTCGCTTTTTACAATGAACGTGTCCCATGGCATGTCACACGTATTTCCTTGTGTGGTTTTTATTAGTGTAGTTTAGATGTTACTGTCAACCTGTGATGTAAAGCCACGTGAATTGAAATCATGCTTCTTCTTTTTTTACGAGGGTAAATAAGTAAGTTTTTATGAAGCCTCGACTAAAGGGCGCCTGTGAGCGTCCGGCGGCTTCACTGTCTTGTAATTTGATGCATATATAGTGAGTTTTTTGTGAACTGTTGTAAAACGAAACGAAAAATGCGTGAGCGTTTAAGATTTTTTGATATAATTTTATGTAAGTGGAATTAATAAAACATATTAAACTATACCGACTGGTTTCCAGTTTTGTTATTGCGGATTTAGATGTTTCCAGGGAAAATAATAATACCTCAACTACATTATTTTCTTAAATTATAATAATACAATAATACAACAATTTGATATCACCAGTTCGAGAAACGCCGTTATTTTATTCTTTATGGGTCCCCCCCCCTCCCTTTTTTTTTTGATGCCTTTTTTTCTCATGGGAGTAATTGGTTCGATTGTTTAATCATTTTCTAAAAAATGAAGACGAAAAAAAATTGGTATGCTTTGGGATTTTGTGTGTTTATGCAGAAGGTTAGAAAAAAAAACTGCTGCGTTTGAAAAGCTTTGATCACAAAGCCTCTCTTTGTCCTTTTGGTCCAGTTCACTTCGCTCAAAACAACACGGAAGCATCACACTATGCATATATAAATTATATATGTATCCTAAATGAATAATACAAACACAATAATACAATAATAATAATAATAATAATAATAATAATAATAATATGAAGGATTGAAAAAAGAGAAAACTTTTGTTTCAGTTTTATTTTCACAGTAATCAGAAGGACAATTCGGGTGTCGGCATTTTAAATGGAAATGCAGAGACAAACGATGGAAGTTGGTGAATATCAGAAACCAGAAAGAAGTTTCGACGACAATAAGAAAACGCTGGTAGCAGCAAGTGGTTTTGGACTTAAAGATCTACAAAAAAAAACATAAAATACAAACTGTGTCATTTGTCTGGTAGTTCCTATTCCACAGGTTATTGTTAATTACACAAAATGTGTATAACTGGAGACAGAAATGTATTACCCAGTCTATGAAAATAACTAATTCTGTAAATTCATAAATAGTGAAATGCTCTAAATATTAATATATGCCTCATTTAAAAGGGATGCTCAATGGATTGTACATCCATGTGTTTAGTTTGGGTAACAAATTTGCATTATCTGCATTATATGATGATAACAACATATTGAAAAACATATGTGATTAACCTACAGGTCCAAACATAAAGCAAACGAGTCCTATCCCAAAATCAGCACAAAAAATGTGTCGAAAATTACACACAATTTGGGTGGGACGACAGTGCCACACACAAGCTGTCCCACCAGACTGAAGACCGTGTCCCTCACATATAAACAACCAGGGGAACACAAAGAGCACAAAATGGACATGATCTGCAGACAGGAAAGGCTTGGCGAATATCTCTACATGTGGCACTGAACTTTAAGTGCAATTATTTTACCAAATGTAGACACATCTACAGTAGGCGTCGACAAATAATATGACTGTAGCATTTTCCCAAAACCAAAAAAGACTTTGCAGTCAATCCTTAAATCGGGGTCACATTCATGTTCAGTTGCTGGCGGCAGCCTCCGCCTCCTTGGTTGCTGTGTCCTTTTTGCTCCCCTCCTTGGTGCTGCGTTTAAGGCTTCCATTCAGAAAGCTTTCTGCGGTCTGACGCTGGAAGTGCTTCCTGGTGCCCACCAGGGAGGGGTTGTTGACCAGGGTGTAGAGGAGCTGCCAGTGCCTGCGGGCCCTCTTGGCATTGGACACTTTGAGCTGTTTCTTCTCCTGCTGGACCAGCTGGATCCCTGAAGACATTCAGACATCATGATAGCACCAACGGTATGACATATACACAAATACAAGAATAGATAACCTTTATTTTTTTTAATCTTAACTGAAATGGGAAAAACACTCTTTTGAGGGCCACCCAGGACTAACTAGATACTACAAAAAGAGTAATAATAGAAAGCAATCATTTTTAATCCTCTAAGCATGGTAGGAGCATATTGGGCTTGCCATTAACACACTGAAAGCTTAAGCCCCTTGGGCAACATGAATATGAAGCAGGCAATTAGCGTAGTTCATCTGTGCAATCAGCTACTCGAGAGCTAATCTTCGCAATACAATAGATTATTCCTGATAATGCATTGTTCTCTAGATGCAAACAAGCAACATCTCGGCTGCACATTTGTAATTGGATTCCACAACAACGGATTAAACCTGATGCATTTCCCTGCAAGTTTCTCACTATAATGTAGGTAACCATTCACTCACTTCCTGTTTGAGTCAATACCATCAGCCTACCAACCCACCTTAAAGTAGCTGTTATTTTGGGTGAACTACTACACAAATGAAACATTGGGTTCATTTGTATTAGTTTAATAAAATATATAACGCCTTACAGTATAGGACAACACTGTCCCCTGGTGACAGAGGGCTCAGGCAAGTGTGGGCACACCATAAGGACAGCTGATTAGTTTATGACAGATTTGACTGAGACCAGCAGCAGGAATGTAAATTATTCCTCAGTGAGACTCAATTTGCTCTTGACATATTAAATCATCACTGCTAAGCTTTCATTTCTTTCGTGCGTGCTAGACAGTGTTATGATCTGATTATGTGTTACAGTGACCTGCTACTGAATTCTAAACCTCCCCAGAGAAATTAAAGATGTCTTACTGACTTTAATGAATCTACTGTTTACCTTTAAAGGATAAAGCTGGTGATATTCTTTATCTTTCTTATTGTCAAGACAAGTCCAAAACCAACAATAAATTGAGCCTCCTAAGTATTGTCTGTGTAGCCAAAGCCTGATATAGTAAGTCTAAAAAATAAACTATATTATTTATGACTTGAGTTATTTGCATCTTCAGTAGGGATGAAAGTGCCTGGGGTTCATTGCCACAGACAGGGTAGGGAAGTCATACAGTATCAGGAGAAGGACTAGTATAATGTTGGTTTTGGTCTTTTCATATACCTTAAATATATGACTACATTGAACCCACAGTACCAAGTCATTGTGCACTCCTGTGAGCTGAATCATTAGCACTTGGGAAATGAGTAGAGTGTGTAGCCTATGATGTGAGTTTTGTGCCTACAGACCCTCTTCAGCGTCCCGTGACCTCTGTGCAGCATTGCTCTCCTGGCCCATAGACTGCAGCAGCATCCCACAGAAGGCCTTCATCACGGGGTGAGACTGGCTCACCTCAATCTTCAGATAATGAGCATAGCAGCGGTAGGCTGCAGACAGACACAGGGAGGGGGGGTCACTGACTGGGCAAAAGCAATAAACACGTAGGACTACACCCCATGTTGGCTTTGAGGCAATCACACATAATGGTCATACAATCACACTTCTTTCTTTTTTTTTTTTAACCACCTGCTTTTCCTGACAACAGATGTCTTAAATCTGCGGCCATTTTAGAAAGAGATCGGTGTGCAATTACAGTCTGCACAGAATACAGATATCATACGAGCTGCAGTGAGCCGCTAGCAGGGTAAAGTGGATAGGACACGCATTTCTGGCCTCTAAGTGGGATCAGTAAAAGTGCATTTGCTCATAGAAAATTGCTTCTCTTTAAGCCTCCGCGGTTAGAGTGAAAAAAAACTGTGGCATCTACAAAGGTAAAAGCTGGATGTTAATACCAATGAATGTGTTAACATTGTGTAGCTGAGACTAAAACGAAAAAAAAATGTAGAAAAATTTTAAATATAATGAGTCTAAGGCATTCAGTTCCCTAGCAATGCCTTATTGTTTTGTTTTTTTATCTAAACACATATATAAATGGACCCAGAGCTACTTTTTCCTGGTGAGACAGCCAAGGTACAAGCAATCAATTATATGAAGATATATTTTTAATACAGATGACACTGAACTTAATGTGATGCTTTGGCCTGGTCAGCATACCAGACGGTGACATTATGGCTGTGTTAATGTCTACGGAGTGTAGAGTATCTGGCTCACCTGGGTCAAACGCCTCCACATTGCGGTTAAGAAGACTGATATCCATGCGTCCCATGTGGACAATGTTGAACAGAGCTGTGATGATCATGCGCCACACTGCCAGTAGCACCCCGATCAGAACATTGACTGGAAACAGCAGGTACGTCAAGAGGAACAGATTACCCCTGTAAGATAGGAAAGAAACGCATCAAACATACAGGACTATGCTGCAATTACGAGACAGTAAAAATGTATGTGAACAAAAGAAACAACAACAAATATAGCGAATCACCTGTTGTTAAGGTCTTGTGTGCCTGCGACTTTTTTAATGAAGCAAAACCTGCCGGTGACATGTTGAATCAACACAGCCAAGAGAATCATCAGCCAGAAGGGCCTGAAAGGACAAAATCAACAAATCAAGACATCTCCTGCAGTGTTTCGAGAAAGATAGAAAGAAAGTACAAAAAACATTCGGTAACTGACAGAATGACCTAAATCCATTACTGTACAACACACGGTTTTCAATCAAAAGAAACAACATGCTCCATATGTTGTTACTTTTGATTAAAAACCGTGGTGTCGTTTTCAGGAACGAAGAAAGCATCAATTTTGCAATGACCAACGTGTATTTTTGAGTTTATCCAGTGTTTGTTTAAAGATGGTTTTGGGGTCAAATCATTAAAATAGACTAAAACAGAAAAGTTATAAGATGTTTGCATAACAACAGCGATGCCTTAGTCATGTTTAATGTTATGTCATAAGTTTAATGAGTAAGAGATGTGACGACGCTCACCACATGTTCAACAGAATTTGAAAGAGGATCAGATTCTGTCTGTGCAGCAAAGGTATGATAATGAGGAAGACAGCGACCAGAAGGCAGAGGAAGAACACCATGGTCTGGATGATCATGCCTTGAGGGGAGAGATCAGAGCTTCAGAACCTCAGAGCTTACACCATGTCCAGCAACCAACAAATCCGCACTGAACATCTACTCCTCTCTCACATCATAGTAAAGGGAGCAATATTTTTTTTCTTTTGGAAATATCAAGAAGAGAACATGAGAAGTATCCTTTCATGAACCACATGTAAAACCCTGACAAATCTTTATTCTAGCTGAGTTAATCGGTTGCTAGAAGGATGCATTTAGAATCATAGAAAGGAGTGTGAACAGCTATAGTTATCCGCTATAACTGTCTTGTCACTATTTGATTTGCAAACATATCCCTCTCTCGGGTAGTAGTGGTGTATTCAATTGTACAAAACCATATGAGGGTTTGGATACAAAATCTAAGGTTTAGCAACATTTATGAAGTGAAAAAACAAAAAGAAGATACAAAAACGAAGCAATACTGGAAATACGGTTTGAAAAAAAAATTCTTATAAATAATCTTGTTATTCAACATGCAGTTGTACCAATGAAGATGTGAGCTGCCGTGAAGCTGGTGTATCCCATCCAGCAGACCAGAGCTGGCCGGGAAGCCCTGATACTTCTCTGGCAGTTGTAAACATTATAGATATCTCCTCTGTACAGCCCCTTAAGGTTTGACCTACAGAAGCAAAAACACAATAAAAGACAATGCAGCACTGTGCAAAACATAAACTGATTAATCAGTAAATGTACAAATTACACAGCAAATTGAAGAGGTAATTTAGTATGCGATATTGAAATTCAATACTCAGCACAGAAAGCCATTTCTTTTAATACGACGTAATTTATGGTAATGGCACAGTATTTCATCTTAATAGCCATTTTCAATACAACAGCAGAGTGAATGCTTTTTTATCTGTCTAGATGATTAGTACTCTATTATGTTATAATAACTCCTCTGTGCACCATCACATTATAATGAAGGAACCAGAATGTCCTCACAATTCTTGGAAACTTTGAGGAGATAATGTAAAATTAAGAAAAAGACAAAAAAAAGCTATTACACTATTCTTCTCTCACACCTACCGATGCAGGACCATCGACCGCATGAGCATAGCCAGGTTGACCAAAGCAGACAGGGTCATCGCTGAGATATAGCACACTGCAGGAAAAAAAAAAAGAGCACATGGCATTCAGGTTGCTAACATGTTATATTCATTTAAATGTTTTCAAATTTAAAAACAATGTAGCCATTTGTGATTTAAATAAATAAATACATATATAATGTAATGGCCTTCCGGTTTCACGCACCTTCCACACACCACATGTAATATACCACTATTCTGACCACTTCATGCTTGTCTGGAGATAGCATAATCTTGAAACCAGCTAAAAGGTTGGCGATGTCTTCATCGACTCCCAAACGGGCAGTCTGGAGAGTTGGAACCACTGCTGAGATCAGTAGAAGACCCACCTAAAAAACAAAACAAAAAAAAAAACTAGAATTACCTCTGCCAACCAGTCAAGTTGCAGTTTACATCCATGTCTGTCCAGACTCATAGAATATATGTGGTGAATACTGTATAAAGTGTATTCTTTTGGCTAAATGGAACTCTATATACTATATTCACTATATTGATGATACATATCTGTGATTCCAGTGAACATACATCGCACTCACTCACAGGATCACTATTAGATAGGCGTACAGCAGTACTTTGAGTCTAAAGTGTCAGCAATTCATTTTCAGACTAATTGTGAAATACAGCTTCTTGAATAATAACCAAAAACGCATTTTGTGAGGTCACAATGACCTTGACCTTTGACCTTCAAATTCTAATCAGTTCTTCCTTGAGTCCACGTGGACGTTTGTGCCAAATTTGAAGAAATTCCAAAAAGTGTCCCCAAAATATTTCGTTCACAAGAATGGGACATATGGACAATGTCACAGTGAAGTTGACCTTTGATCTTTGGGTTATTAAATTTCAGTCATCATTTTATTCTATTAGACATTTGTGTGAAATTTTGTCATAATTAGTGCATAAATGAGTTAGTCCCAGTGACCTTGAACTTTAACCTTTGGCGATCAAATTCTAAGTAGTTTGTCTGTTTGTGCCAAATTTGAAGTAATTCCCTCAAGGCAGATGAGATACCGTGCTCATAAGCATGGGGTGGACCGACATACGGAAGGAACGCAGACGGACAGCCTGATGGACGGACGGACGGAAAGAAAGACAACCCAAAAACATAATGCCTCAACAATTTATTCATTACCTTCTCCCTGGAGAAACTGTATTTGAATCATCCACTGCTGATAAGCAACTTACCGTCAGGTGTCTGTGTAGACAGGTAAAGTCTACTGAATTCCTGCTGATTCATTATTGTAAAATGTAATTGGTTGATTTTCAGAGCCCGGACTGACGTTATTAGGCCAAGGTCAGAGTTAGAATTGGGTCTAGTCAATAAAGAACTGATGTATGTCTGATTATTGACACTGGACTATGCATTTAAGGGTTCATCTAAAGCAGACAAAGACATTACATACAGTATGTGATTATCACATTGTCCTTCTGTATTATTTTATGGGTTTGTTTGGATGTTAAAGTCTGATAATAGATACGGTAGTTACCTGATACAGGGTTATAAATGACACTACACCAGATATAGCCAACTTCGGTGGAAAACGGAAAGCTGTTTGAAGAAAAAAGGAGAGTTATAAAATTGTTACAGGAGATAACACTTGAACGTCTGACGAGACATAACATATTTACCTTCCTCTGGTGTATAAATGTACGACTTAATGGCATCAATTATTCTTTGGGGGAGCTTGGGTGTCTCTGTGCTCGATGTGCTGAGGAGATAAACAGACACTTAATAAATTAATGAGATTAGGAAACATTTGTTAAAGAATGAGCTATGTTTTCTATCATCTAGAATACATAAAATGTGGAGAGGCAAAAATTCTTTACAAATGGAAAAACATGCACTATTTCTTGGTGCTCATTCACTATAACAACCTTTACATGACACGTTGGTCGTTTGCATTGACTGAAAAAAGACGTTTGACCATTTTCCATAGCTAAAAGTAAATTTTCCATTTGGAATAAAGAGATAAAGAAGGGGCGTATCACAGGAAAGAATCTCAAATGCAGGCTAAGCTACAAGGGATGCAAGTTCATCCATTAAAAAAGCAGTTTAAAATGGGCTAAATGCAAGATAATAAAGGTTGCAAATATAACAAGGAGGTGGGGAGATTTCTAGATGGTACTGCCTTTTTGGAAATAGGTTCTAAAAAACATGCTGTGTGTGCTATTAAAGGTGCTATAGGTGCTAAAAATGAAACATCAGTGTGTAGGATTTAGTGGTGTCTAGTGGTGAAGTTGCAGATTGCTACTATTTGAATACAGGTCAGCCTTTCAAGCATGTAGGAGAGGTGGCCGCAAAACTCGCAGAAAACAGGAAAGGCTTATATTCCATTTCTGCTAATAAACCCTCCTAAATGTTATACACTGGACCTTTAAATTGTCAAAAGACAAAAATAACGTTCAACTGCAGTAAATCGGGTGTGTTACTGGCTACAATTCTCACCTGATTTTGGTAGGCTTCTTCTTGAGCATTTTCTTCACATAGTCTTTATAGTAGCTGCTGCTGAGGTCCTTACAGAAGAATGGACAACATTCATGTAAGGAACCAAATGATAACAGCAGATAATAAACAGACCAGGAGGTGTTGAAAAGCTAAATGAATTGATTGGATTTTTGGAATCACAAATGCTTCAGTTGGGCCTTCATATTCCTAAACTCCTTTGGAAGTATGTGGTTTTAGTACTATTTAACTTTTAACTGTTTATTTAGTAATTACTAACATGTGGAAAAAGCATTGCTCTCAAACTGAGCCTCTTTACAATGAGTCTATGCATCTATGCAAGTTTATGGTGTCATGTACATTCCTGTGTGGTGCAGGAGAGTGAGTCAAACTCCAGGCAATCGCCTCACACCAGCTTTGTCACACCCATGCCGAGATTAGCATCAAATAAACAAAGGCATTGTCTCCTCAGTGAAAAAAAACAAGGTAACCTTTTCATAATCTGATCAAGAACATAACGTAAACCAGTTACGACAAATCTACTTAAAATTATTGGGCAACTGGCACACTGTGTTGGACCTTACATTTTCCTTCAACCTAGACTGTATGAGCACTATAAGCCCCTTGATTAGCAGGCGGCTTATACAGGTTCCTCACATGCACAGAGTCAGATGAAATGTGCTTCTTAGTGAGATTTTCTCTTTTTATAGTTCAGATTTAGTTGAACATAGACTACTAATCAAGACAGACACTTGTATCCAGTTTGTTGTGTAAGCAGGCCAAACAATAAGGGCTGTACAATCATCCTGAAGCAAACCTGCCTTGCGCTCAGATCAAAACTTACCTCTGTAGCATTGTTCTTTTCAGTGCCCTTTAAGCCCTTGAATAGAAGAAGGGGATACTGGAAACTAAGGAATGCCAAGCAAGCTATCTGGGGCAGGCTGGAGAAAAGGGAGTAGTGTTTGTGTATCTGCAAAGGAATAAAACAAGACTTTCAGTCACCTAGTTACTTGTTTTGGGAGTTTTGAAGTGACAGACTAGGAATACATGTTAAACCTACATTGTATTAAAACATAAAGTGGACACAAATGGCCTTTGTGGTGGGAGTCTGCATACTGTACTGGCAAAATGGGATCCATAACCACAATATAATAATGAGACTCCATTGACTAAATGTTTATAATTTAGTGCGAGAGAAAATGCTAACATATCTGCTTAACGTGCCAACTCATGGTGGGATAAAATCGTCATTATTTAAAAAAAACAGAGCATCCAAAGCCTTGATGTCTCTCACAGACACTAAACTGATTAACTGTGACAAAGCTGCTTGATTAAGACCAACAGACAGTGGAACTAATTGTTTTGAGTTGTAGCCATTCATTGCACAGAAAACAAACAACGTGGATATGGCGGCAAATCCGAGATTGGGTCTGTTCCGAAAGGTTCAGCAATGTGTCCACGAATCAAGCTGAAAAGCCTGTTATTCATCTTTTCAAATCATGTCTCTTTATATATATATATATAT